AGGCTGAAACGGGGTAGGGCCTGCAGGCCCTCGTTTTTCAGCTTTCAGGCTGAAATGACCGGGGCCTGTAAGCCCTAAGTTTTAGGCTTTTAGGCTGAATGTCCGGGACGGGCCCTGCAGGGCCCGTGTGGCTACGCAGTATGCCACATGTAGCCTATAGCCAGGTAGGGAGAGGCCCTAGAGGCTGAAGCTGAAACGGTACCTGTCAGTCCTACCAGTCCGGTCTGGGCCGTGTCCAGGCTAGGGTTGAGTATGAATAGGTTTAGGAAAAATGATTCGGGGGCTTTTGGCAGATGGTACCGTGTACATCGCTGCTGCGCAACGCATGAACTGGAGTGGTGACAGCGTCAGCGTTGGAGGAGACAGACATAGCCGGACCTGCGAAGCGTCGTCCATAGCTGGGACCTGCGCTGTTCTCTGACGGCACGCGGGGTTGTTCAGAGGTCTAGGCTATCTGAAGCCTGCTGGAGGCAACAGGAGTTCGTGCCCTGCTGAACCCTCCTCAGGAGTAGGGTTTCAGGTTGTTTGGTGTTGCAGCCATAGCTGCAGCTTTCTTCCTCAAAGAGCATCTTTGTCCGGAGAGGTGGCGCTGCTACAGACTTCACCCGGGAAGTCCTCTGACACTTCATCATCATCGGATACTGTGGCACTGGTCTTCTTCTTCATCCTCTGAGAGGCGCTTTGCCTCAGAGACCTGTTTCAGGGTGGCGCTTCCCTCAAGAGGCAGTATCTGGGTGGCACTGGTTGTTTCAGGGACTCAAGGGTAGTATAGCGGTTACTCAGGGTTAGGGACTGAAGCGCTGCTCATTTCTGAGCAGCGCACCATGGATCTGGGGTTATCCTGACATTTCGAGACTCTGAGTTTAATAAACAATGTTTATACTGTGTGTGGAGTATCATTGCTTCATTGTTTCCTAGATGCGATCTACTCGGCTTTCCTTTGTGACTGGTTGTGAGGATTATGTGGAGTGAATTGCACTTTCAGTGTTTTCTGTCATATCGCATGGACAAGTCTTTCGCTGTGTTTATCTCTTACTGTGCGGTGTGGTACTCCCATCCTCTCCCCTTCCTTCTGTGTATGTATGGGCATACCTGGAAGTCTATGTGAGCGAGTGTTGGTCTTCTGACAACAAACAACCAGGATCATAACACGCTGCTGATGACCGCTGAAGAAAAAGACCGCAATGAGAGATCTGGCGAGGTAAGAGGTTAGACTTGCTTCAGTTGGAGAGGCTCCAGAGACGATTCCTTGTTGAGTGAAAAGACTGCAATAGCCAAGATTGATGAATGCTAGCAATCAAGGGGAAGACTCCAAGGGACGAGGTGGCGAGCGATAGCAGGACATTGAGACTTTAGTCACTGTTTAAGATTAACAGTTATCCTTCATATTCTGGGTCATTCTCTCTCTCCTCTCATGCGTGATGTCATTTGCCGCTTATCGCTTCCATTGATGATAGGTTTTAAACAAGGCTTGGATGACATTGCAGTGATTGCACCAGCAATGGAGATTAAGCTTGTGTTGACTGGTTCCAATTCATCATGCTTGTGTGGAAGAATGCAAAGAAAGGAAAGGACCCCGAATACCGGGAGTGGTAGTTTGGTTGCAATCATAAGGAACCGGAGAGAGTTCGAACTCTTGTCAGCAGATGGCAATAGGAGAAACAAGTAATGGTAGTATGAATCAAAACAAATTCTATTCTCTATCATTTATTATTCTATTCATGGAGGATTCGCCGGCGTCGAAAAGGAGTATGGTTGATGATAAAATCCCTGGGAGAGGGAGGATAAGGGTGGTTGGGAGATCGAAAATATATGAGGAACTGCCAAAGTTGAAGGTGATGTCTAAGGACAGTGTTGGATGGTCTAAGACAGTTACCCGACATGCATTCGAGCGTAATGGGCAAGGTCGGTCAGAAAAATAAGGAACCATTATTTCAACAGGAGAAGAAAATCGGCAAATCAAGAAGGCACAAGTAAGCAAGGGAAGGAAGTTAGAAAGAAGACACCTCACCTGGAACATGATTACCATTATGTACCATTAATGTGTGCAAATGCTGGAGCAAGAGCGAATGACCATGATGAGGACCGTTTTTTTTTGAAGAAAAGGAAGGTGGACCAGCACCACTCCACTCACATTAAAAAAAGTAGGACAGAGGGAAAGATGAAGAGGGCCCCGAGACAGAAAAGCGCTAGGGCAAGCGAGAGGGTGATAGAAAGAGTGTGGGAGAGAGAGAGAGCAAGTCCCCGCCACTTTCCCTGTACTAGTTCCATTAATTTTTTTTTTGTCCCGCCGGTAGCCCCGTCGGCACGTGTCCCATTTTTCGACAATTTGTACTTGGGCCCATTTAGTCCCTGACGTCGCCCCGGTTGATGTCCCATTCTTATTTGGCACCTTGTTGTCCCCATCAGTCCCAATTTACTCTCCCCATGCATCTCAAGTCTGCCGATTATTTCCGGCCG